TTTTTTTTTTTTTTTTTTTTTTTTTTTTTTTTCACTAAGCGATTTTCAAAATTTGTAGCATAAGGTGGTCTCCGTATTCCGTTTTTGCCACTTTGGGAGAAAAGAATTTTATGATACCTTTCGGTTTGGTCACTGCGTTGCATATTGTGTCTGAGGAGGAGCAAGCAGAAGTGGTTAAGATGCTTCCTGAGAAGAGAGCAATTATTACTGCAGAAAGCGATCAGAAGGTCTATCTTTGGACCGGCGCGTTCCGCAAGCGTGGCAGGCTTGTGCCGAAAGTGGCGTTTTTGTGCTAATAACATTCGCAGTGCCGTTTGGCATTTCTGGCTGGAAAATATGTGGCACAACCGACTCCTTGATGCATTTTGAGCCTTCGGACTGTTCTTGAATGCCTTCTTCTTTTTTCTCAATAGGAGACTTTTTCAAAGTTTAAAGCATAAGTTGTTCACGGTGTCCCATTTTCACCACTTTTGGGAGATAAGAATTTTATCAATTTCTTTCATTTACCGCAATACAATGTATTTTGAGTCTCAGAACGGGGAAGGAGAAGTGGTTAAAATGGTTTTTGCGAAGGGAGCAAGTCTTGGTGCAAATGACAATCGAAAGGTATGTCTTTTTTTAACTCTCCATCAGTCCGTTCTGTGCAAAGGACGAGTTTAAAGCGGAATTGGTGCTTCTTTGAACAGGTCATTGGTTTATGCCGACGCAAGCTGGCAAACACTTGACCTAAAGTCAGTTTTTATGATAATGTTGCTATTATTACCCTGATGATGCCTGTAGAAAATCTGATTCATTCGTTAAAGATCAGAAATTATCATAACATAAAAGGGTTGCTTTTATGTAAATATTGAACGTTTTTAACTAATCACTATTGCTATTGTCGAGTTTTAATGACTATTTCGCAAATTTTTTGGAGAAATACTTTTACCACGAAACTCTGAGTACCATACCTGGACTGTTTGGTAATTTTGGAACAAAAACGCAGTTCAAAATATTATTGGTGGTCTTAAGTGCAGTGACACTTGTGTTTCTTATTTATATCCGTAGAGCTTAACTACTGGCAGTCGGCGATTGCTCGTCCCGTAAAAGAAGTACCCATAAACAACGTCATTAATTTGTTTTGACATACCTAACGTAAAAAAAGATTTCAGCTGAGGGTGAAATGCAAGAGGAAAAGTATTTAAAAGTTTCTGGCAAAAAAACGAAAAAGATTTTCTGTCTTCAAATTTAGCACTATCTTTGCATCTACTATATAGTTGAAATTTTTATCATTTAACCACATATCAGGCGTTAACACTAAAAATTATTTCTTATTTAATAAATTTTCATATTGTACTACATGCTTACAGACTAATTTGAAAAAAAGGGAAATGGCTTTTTTTATTTTTGCGCGCTTTTCTAGACTACAGATTTTTAGTTGAGTCATAGGCGAAATTTATTTGTTTGTCTAAATCTGTATTTTATACAATCGTTATTGAGTTCTAGTTGATAAAACGCCAAGTAAAAATAAAGATAAGAAGGTTTGCATTCTCTAAGCTTTACGTTTTCAGTTTGGTATTTGGATTTCTTTTTCCTCCTTCACCATTATCTTGTCGATTTTGTCTTCATTGAGAGAACGTAACTTCTTAAGCTTTTTTAGTTTTGTCTAAAAATTTTAGGATTGCGAAATCTGTGTAAGAGAGGTAAAAATACTTATCACTGGTTACTTCCATTCAGGCGGACTATGGCAACCACTCACTTTCTCACTTCTATATTTTTATAGTTGCCTTTCCTTACTTTGAGGGACTACGTTTTCCCTAAGAAATGCTTTTCCCATGATGGAAACATCCTTATTGAAAAAGTTCAAATTCAAAAATTCTTCTGATTCCTTTTTAAATCGGTGAATGTAAACTCGTTGGTTTGCACTCGTTTCATTAAAGTCCCATCTCTTTGAATCCTAGAATAGGTTTTAGGCTTTCGCATGAAAAAGCAGCTAATTCGAAGTCTCTTAATGTTGACTTAACAACAAACTGGTAGGATTTTAATAATTACTGGAGATTTTACATGGTACGTTTCAGCTAAAAGGTTTTTACTCTGAATCTTCTTGATGTCTGAAGTTTTCTTAAAACTTTCATCTGCCATAAGCAGTTCCAAACACTTTCTTCGTACCGCCACTTGCAACTGGAATAAAACCTAGCGTGAAAGCGGTTAAAAGGTATGAAGGCATTTCGCGTTTATCTGTTTCTTTTTTTGCAATATAACATATTGGGAACAGACTAAACTTTTTAGAAGGATGGGCATTATTGCTGTGACAGAAATTACTAAAACGAAATCTGGTAGGACAAAGAAGATAAAAGAAGAGCGTGTAGAATGCAGAAGCCTAGACCGACAATTTATCTGAATGAGAAAGAGGCACAGGCTTTTAACGGTAGAATGACAGATGACTGTTAAGTTGTATGCTTTAAGCCAAGTTAATTAGCAGGCTGAGTACACTAACGCTCACAGTAACTCCGCTTAATTCCAACCATTTTCCTTTACAGCAGAATGTCTTCTCTGCGTACAGTCTTTGGAAATTAAGTCCAAAAGATGGTTAGGCTTGAACAATTTCGGTAGCTGTTCGACCTTATATTTAAGAGGTAATGATATTCTGCATTTGATTGTGAAGTATACATGGAATCAAAAGTGTATTACGATAGCGAAGCAGTTTTTTAAACAAAGCATATTATAGCATCTCCTTAGACTTAAGCTTTATGACTAATAGCAGTTTCAGAGAGAAGAATGCGGAACGAAATATATAGAAACTATAGATAAAGTATTTAAAAACCAATCATCTATAATTCACGCCAAATGCTGACTGTATGTCTTGTTTACATATCCAAAAAAGGCAAAACCAAACCCGCTGAATACTGTCTCTATCGTTAAAGTATATGATCGGCTTGGGGTAGAATATCGGGCCCTGTGATGGTTTGACCCAGCACGCTGAGAGGATTGATGTAAAATCATACTTCCATCAATGTCTGAGGGCATTTTTTTGTTTGGCGCATACGTGGTTAGTTATATTCGGTAGTAATGGTGAAACTGTTCGCAGTTTTTGACCATTCAAGTGCATTTACAATGGGATTTTCTGTCTGCATGGTGTAGCGGATATCTTTTTAAATTAGTCTGGTCAAACTTTTTATTGAGAAATAGTGCACCTCCAATTAACTTGAAAAGTTAAAGGGCAAGTCCTGTAGAACACAATGCTAGATAGATGGATTAATACAGGCTAGCACAGTAATAGTAGAAGGTGATAGTTTATTTGGTAATTTTTTTGAAATGTTTGGTAGGTGAACATTATTTAAGTGACAACAATAAGTATGACTATTTAAGGGCTACCAATAGAAAAAAAAAAGCGTTTTAAGTGTAACAATAAAAGCTGGGAACACATTAGCGACGGATCCAGTAAGTATTGAATTCTGAGTGGTTTTGAGAACTGTAGCAGTTTGTAAACTGATTCCGTGGATCTGTTTGCTTCAGTCTCAAAGCCATTCTGTACGAATAATGCTTGCTAAATAAATTTCTGTTAAAAAGAATATATAAAAAATTAAAGAAGAAAGAAATTATTCAAGAAATGCTGTAGAAGAAATAAAATTTGTTATTGAAAGAGACAATATATTTTTGGATAATTCAGCAATATTTTGAGTAAGAATTTTTTTGTTTTCAAAGAAATAGTTGCATTGGATAACAGAAGTAATGAAGCTGTCCTTTTTACAGTCGCAACTTTTAGCGGCACCATCGTTTTTGTATCATCAGTCACCTGTAAAACTTCAATTTAACAAGTATAATAAATGTGATTTTTACGCAATAAACTTGGACCGCATGCAATAAAAGTCAGAAAACTACAGCAAACAATCAAAACTTTATTCTTACCATTAAATTGTTGTTGTCATTTCGTTTTTATTTCAACTAACTTTAATGATAATAACAAAAAGAATAATAATAATAATATCAATATGAATAAGAATAAAAAGTTGCAAGAAGCAGCAATCTTTTAATCAGTAATGTAGACTAACCAGCATAGTGTCGATAATAAAATGTATCAAAGAGAATTAGGATTTTTAACATTCATTTTACTGCGGCTACTACCGAAACAGTAACAGAACGTTTGAAGACTTCAGATACATTCAACTAACACTCACATAAAACCACAATATCACTATTTCAGCTATTATTAATAAAGATTTTATAGACATTTTGAGTACAGCTGCTGTTAAGTCAACAGAAGAATTGCTTTTGATGATTGTCGTCAAAGATGTTAATAATAATGCCATTCAGTTAGCAGGTTATAATTTGCAGTTATTCAATCACACTAGCCTGAATTTTCCAAAAAAAAAAAAAAGTAAGAGAAAAAAAAACGTTGCCACGTTTTTCCCCCTCTCTTTCAATGCTAACAAAGTATTATTGAAAAAAATTGAAAGCAGTTGTTAAAAATAATGTCATATATCTGTCAAAACAGTTATTAAATGTTAATGTAATTAGGAGAAATCAAAATGTTGAGGTTACCAAAATCTGCAGAAAAAACTGTTTAAAGATGTTTAAAACGTATAAATTAATGATTATATGGTTGCAACCAATCCAATTGGTATAATTCTTACATACGTCTGAAAATTAATTCTTACAATTGAGGAATCAGTTTGAAAAAAAAGCAGTAAACGCACAATGGAACGGCTTTATTGCTGCAACTGTATAATCAAAAACAGTACAATAGCAAATTTTTTTCTGCAACAGCAATTGTCTACTGCTTTGATGGAACAATAGTTTGATTGCACATATACTGCCTTCTATAGAATTTTAATGTCTGCAGTTAAACTGCAGATGGGTTGTTGATAGGAATTCATGTACAACCATTTTGCTTAGACCTACCAATCCTTTATTCGATGATTGGAGCTGGAAATATAGTAAGCAAATGGAATTTAAAATGGTCTTCAACTGCAGAGTGCAACTTTAATACTGTTTTAAGATACTAAAAAATGAAAAGTTCAGACAACAAAATGATTACTGTTGACGCAAATTGTTGTCAGTTTTTGTTCTTCAAAATAACCTTTCAAAATATTTGCAATAAACGTAATTTGTGATCACTTCAACTATATACGTGCAATTAGCTATGGCCAAAATCGTTGTTCTGCGGCTTCAGAATGATGTGACATTTGCAGTGCTGATTTAAAGATCGTACCCAAAATACAGCAAAAAAATACATTCACCTGTGCCGTTTCACAATGATGTATAAACTTTTAACAAAGATTGCTTCAGCTTTAGTTTCTGCTAAACAGCTTTTTAGAATTCACTTTTGTGGTTGTCGATATATTGCAGAGAATTTCAAAAGTAAATTTTTAAGCGTAAAGTCAGACTTGACTAAAGCATAGATAAAGTTCTGTAAATTTCTGACAAACAACAGTCTAATTATCAATTACATCAGGAATTTGACCAATAATTACAGAATCTGTAATTGGTTTTATCACAAGAAAATACTCATTTTTTGAAATATTGGAAAGATTTGCAGCACAAGCAGCACTTTGCCTTTTCAATACAAAATAATATTTTTGAAAGTGCAACAAGCCTTTTCTCTCTTGCTCAAAAAAATAAATTATGATAAGGTTTTTTCAAGAAGCAAAAGTTTTTGGAGTCAACTGACATTATTTTGGTTTTCAATGCATTCTGCAGAATTCAGTAGTAACTGGTATCTCGAGGTGTTTGTTTGCAGAACTGAAAACTTGTTAATCGTGCAGGAATACTCTAAACATAGTGTAGAATCACAGAATATTTTTTAAAATTCTACAAACTAGTTTCTGTTTTGAAAATCCTAAATTTTCTTAATTACATTTACAAAGCTAAACCATTTTATTGAAATTCTTCAAGATTTTTATCTTTTATTGAAGCTAAATTTTTATAATGAAATTTCTGAATGGTTTTACAGAAAACCGCTCTCGAAATGTCGGAAATGAACATGATCAGAAAAGTAAGAAATTTTACATTTGTACAGCTTAGGTTCTTCTGGAAGTAAATGAAAGTCAAATAAGTTTTTTGTAGATATCTCATAAAATTTGTAAATTTCAAAAAAAAAATTGTTTGCGGATGTTTTTCAAATAGCAAGCTTGCGAAAATGGCAATTATGATAAATCTTGAAATCAGAGACCAAAACTTTACGATTTCCATCATATAGGCTAGTGTGCACAGTTCAGCAGAAGTTTGACACATCCAGAACAGTATTTTTTTATGATTTTGCGAGAGGTTTACGGCATATAAGGTGACACGATTGTCGACTCTACCTAACCTCTAACTTCTTCTTAAAAGTAACTTTGGCTGCATTGAGGGAGAGGAGAAAAGCTATATTATTCCTTACAGAAATGATAACCTCATTTTTTGGTACCTGACTGTTAATTAGAGCTAAATGAAGATTAGTTTCATTTTGTCACAGAGTAAGACCTCCTTGCGTCATCGGAATCAGCTGGTTTTCAAACTTTTCATACATTCCTACTGAAATTACTCCCAGAAAAAGAGTATTTTTTTTGTACTCGTTTTTACTACATATTCTCCTCCTCTATACTTTCAAAGAAATTTTTCTGTGCTCAACTATATGGCTCTTGTTGCTGTGTACACTGTTTCTCTTCACTAATCGTTGTCCTTGTTGAGGTTTTCTGTTTTTACTGATTTCTCTTCATACGGTAATGCTTAGAGGTGCTTTTCTCTTATTAAATGCTCTATGATCGTAATGTATTATTCAAAAGCACGAAAAGTGAAATTCATCATGCAGGTCGTATTTCAGATACAAGCAAAATGTTTCGGGAAGCCAAGTCGGTGCTTCACCGATGTAGGTTTGTAAGGTCAGAAAGACTGGACCAGGATGAGCTTTATAGGATAAGAGATATAATCACTTATTATTATTTACTTACTTGTAGAGAGTTTAAAAACAATTTCATTCATTTAGAGGGACTTTGAAGGCCAATTTTCGTTTCTATTTATAAATTTCCAAAAAAATTTTTAAATGGCATTTTCTTGTTTAAATCGTATTCTAGCGGCAACGTTTAGAGAACAAGTCAGAAAATCAGTAAGAGCAGCTTTATGAATTTTCAAGTTGCCCTAGAAAACCTAAAACTATTCACATCAGTTTTGGAACGTTTTTTACGGTTGTTTTAAATTTTATAACAGCAGAAATTCTCTTAGTGCTCGTAAAGTAGTTTTTTTAAGTGAGAAGACATTTGTTCTCAGATTTTTGAATAAACAGCTTTTAATAAAAATTTAGGTTTTGTAACTGTTGTCAGAATTAGAATATATCACACAGTCACGGTTAAATTACTCATCTTGGAGGTATGCTTAAAGTAAGGTAAGGTTAAAATGAGTTCCAACTTAAATATCCCGCTTTAAACAGATATCCCAGAAAATTTAGATAACTTTCACTACTTTTTACTAAAATTAAAAAAAACGACAAAAAAAAGCAATCAACCAAATTTTTTTTGAGAAAAATTGTATAATCTATTTTTTTTCTCTCTGTATATAAAAAGTGGTTCTTTTTCCTTTTCTTCTTTTCAACTGGTGAGTGGAACTGAAACGTGGCGCCCACAGTGGAATGATAGCTTCGGGACGTCGCATCACGGTTTACCTGTTCATTATTTTTTTGGCTGCATTGGCGTCAGAATTTCTGAGTGTTTACATACCAATCAAAGGTTATTGTTAATTATAATTACGATGTTCATTTATTGGAAAACATCTCTAGAAAATATCTTGCGCTAAGAATTTTAAAAAATTCTTGAATTTTATAACCAATTTTTATGTCTTATACTTCTGCTTTTAGAATTGAATGAATTTTGGTTAGAAATTGCTATAAAGTTATTTAAAATTGAAGTAGAAAGAGTTCTGCTGAATTGTTAGCTATGATTCATCCCAGTATCATTTTATAGCCTAGCCAGTTTTATCATCTTGTTCTTACTAGGTTTGAGAAATAGCAAGAACCTTGTTTAAAAATATGATCAAAAGTTTCAAATACGCGTAGGCTTTTTTAATTAGAGAAAAATTTCTGTTTTTTTCAATTTTTGTGCATCAAATACTTTGTTTTTGTATAAAAAAAGCTTAACTTTCCAGTGGTAGACAACCAAATAGGTTAAACATGCGACAGTCAATCAAAAAAATCTATGTATTTCATGATACAATAAATCTTATATTTTGGAAATGATTTTTGAATCAACAAGTAATTATTATTTCGGCAAATAAAATTCGTGTGCTAGT